TAGCGATAAGAGTTTTGCCATGTTGCCAGGCTGGTCTTGGACACCTAGGCTCAAGCGATCCACCCACCTTGGCCTCCCCAAGTGTTGGGATTACAGGCGTGAAACACTGCGCCCTGCCAAGAAACATGTTTTAATAAAATTGTTAGAAAATCAAGTGTGTGATTTGTGACGCAACTCTCCCCTCTATTTCCCTAAGAAAACATCAGTAAAAAACAGTGAACTGTTCTGTGTTTTTGGAGCCTGATCAGGACTCGTCTAATGAATGTGGAAAGGCATCAAGCCAGCTCAGGGTGGGCCCAGGAAGAGAGCAGGGACAGTGAGGAAGGACCAGAGTCATTTGCGTTTACATGCAACTTATGTGCTTGAGGATCACGGAACAAAACTGTTGCTAAGCCAGAGCTGTATTTGGTGGCCCATGGTGAGAGAGGGAACACTAGTAAGTTGTGGAATTAAAGCCATGAAGAGAAGCGGGAATGACTTAATTTGGCTCCAGAAGCGGTGAGTCGTGGGGAAGTAGTGACTCTCAGTTCGTTTGCTCAGCTCAGTGCCTGACACCTAACAGGAGCTCAGAGTGCATCTGTTGACTAACAGTACAGAATAAAGGAAGGGAGGGGGCGGGCGCGGTGGCTCAACTCTATAATCTCAGCACTTTGGGAGGCTGAGGTGGGTGGATCGCTTGAGGTTTGGCGTTCGAGATCAGCCTGGCCAACAAGGCGAAAGCCCGTCTCTACTAAAATACACAAAAATTAGCCGGTCGTAGTGCGCATGCCTGTAATCTCAGTTACTCGGGAGATTGAGGCATGAGAATCGCTTGAACCCAGGAGGCGGAGGTTGCAGTAAGCCGAGAGCGCGCCACTGCACTCCAGCCTGGGCGAGTGTGAGATCCCGTCTAAAAAAAAAAAAAAAACAAACTGCAACCGGTGAGGCGGGGATCATTATGCCTAACGGAGAGATGAAGAAAGTGAGGCCTGAAGGTGACTCCTTCCAGGCGGCCAGCGAAGAGCCAATACCCTAAATTCTCCTTTCCCAGATACCTGCTTCAGCAAGAGCTCGCACCCGCCAGCCCCACTCCACCCACCCACACTTCCGGCTTCCGCTCCGCGTACCCGCGAGTACTTCCGGCCTCCGCTGCGGCCCGGAGGTGTTGGGTGGTAAGTCTGTTCCGCGAGGGCTCACGTGGCCTTCAGAATTAATCCTGGGGCCGGGCGACGACGGCTCCCGGTGGCAGCAGGCCCTTCTTTCTCGCATCACCAGGCATTGCGGGACAGCCATTTCCCTCGCGACGGCCCGACCTAGGGATGACGTCACTTCCGTCCCCTGCTGGCTAGGGCAAACCGGGAATGGAGCCAGCCTCCTTTGATGGCAGGGTGGAGTCAAAGCCGGTAGTATTCTTATTTCCTTGTTTTGCTCTGGAACCTCCTGGAGTTTTGGAGAGACCATGTTTTGGATAGAATTGGAGGACTTTGCAAATAAAAATGCATAGCGGCCAGTTAAATTTTTTTTAAATTTTGAGACAGAGTTACCCAGGCTGGAGTGCAGTGGCGCGATCTCGGCTCATTGCAACTTCCGCCTCTCCGGTTCAAACAATTCTCGTTTCTAGTGCTTGCGCCTTCCGAGTCGTTGGGATTACAGGCTCCCACCACCACACCTGGCTAATTTTTGTGTTTTTAGTAGAGACGGGGTTTCATCGTGTTAGGCTGGTCTCAGACTCTAAATTTGAAGTAAGATAAACGACGAACAATTGTCATTAAGTCCTAAACATTGTGTGCGACATGTTTTTTTAAAAATTACTTGTTGGCTGGGCACGGTGGCTCACGCCTGTAATCCCAGCACTTTGGGAGGCTGAGGCGTGTGGATCACGAGGTCAGGAGTTCAAGACCAACCTGACCAAGATGGTGAAACACCATATCTTAAAAAAAAAAAACTTTTTTAAAGTCTTAAAAAAATTTTTTTTTTTAAATTGTTTACTGGGAGGCAGAGGTTGCAGTGAGCCGAGATCTCACCACCATGTTCCAGCCTGGTCAACAGAGGGAGACTCCATCTCAAAAAAAAAATTACTTGTTTATCTGAAATTCAGATTTAACCGGACGTCCTGTATTTTCTTTGGCAGCCTTAGAACTGAGCGTCACCCTGTCCTGTGCTCATATCCAGTGGCAAGGCTGGGATCTTCCAGGCTCTTGTCCATATGGGAAATAGATACAAAGCTATAAGCACCGTCTGTTTTAGTTGCTAGGATGCTTTTAGCTCCAAGCCTAATGGGCAAGCCCCATGCGTCCCCCTGGCAAAAACTGGACCCATTTTCAGAATCTCCATGACCATGCCCTCTGTGTTCCCTTTCACAACAGAAGTCCGGCACAGCTGCCGTCTCCTATAGGAGAGCTGAGAACTAGGCAGGCAGAATGGCCAGAGTCTAGAAGTAACCACCTTCTTTGGGTGTGGGGTAAACTGGTGTTTGAGATCGTCTCTGTTACAGTGGACAGTATCAGAGAACCTGAGAGTGTCAAGGGAAGAGCTTAGTGTTATCTCACCTCATGTCTCATTTTGCGGATGAGGCCCAATGAGAGAAATGGAGGTGTCCCAGCCACTCAGAAAACCTGTAGTAGAGCTGAAACCTCAATTCCCAGCCTCCTTACCCTGCTCAATCCTTCCTTGCTGATGAAGTCAGCTTGCAGCATTTATGGTAGGCATTTATTAAAGCAGGTACAATAGTACATCTGTGGTACAGATGAGCTCTTTGGGTCTTTGTTGTCCCTGCACCTCTCTACAGGTTCCTGACCTTCAGCCCAAGGCTTCTTTAGCTTTTACTCTGCCCAGTGAGGAAAATGGCTTTTTGGGCTTAGCTTTGGGAGCCTGGCCTTTGCCTACTTCAGCCCCTGGGCTCTCACCACTGTGAGTGGTGTGACGTAGGACTTGTTTTTGTTGTCTTGGAACCAGAAGGGGTGTTCTTGGCAGGGTTGGGTCTGGCCAGCTATGTAGGTAGAAGGGCATCCTTTTCTGTCCTGCAATTGGGCTTCATGGCACATGGCCTCACATGGTGCCTGGGGACTTTCCTAAGGTTCCACCATGAGCCAGACTTTGTTCCAATTCCTGATTTAAACCTAAACTTCTTGCTAAACTGGTCCTGAATACTGGGATTCCTCAGATTTCATGCCCTGAAGATGTGCTGTGGGCTTGATCTGATAAACCTTTAGCCTCCTGTAGCTCCTGACTTCCCAGGCTCCTAATCCCAGTCTCATAAGATAATGAAATAGAATAGGCTGGAGGTCAATGGGCTCAGGGTCAGTTGGTGGGACAATCAACAGCCTCCTGGCAGCAGAGGTGGTAAAGAGGCAAGGAAGGAGTGCCAGAAAGGGGCGTTGCCCCTGGGTAAGAGCTCAGAAATGCAGGGGGTGGAAAAGGGGTGGGATGGGATCCCACTGGTAGAAATTACTCCGTCTGTCAATGATTAACTCCCAGCCTAAGGGATGGCCTAGGAGGAGGGCCCAGCTAAGAGGAACTTTGGACTTGAGGCAGGGTATCCAGATAGCCGGCGTGTGGTCTGCAGAAGAGAAGGACATGGCTGAGTGGCAGGGCTGGTCTCCAAGGACTGGAGTGAGATCCTGCAGCTGTGGGCTTCAAGAAGTCTCCTGGGGCTATCAGATGGCTACTTCTTGTAGCAGCAGCTGTGGGGTCCACTGGCCCTGAGCCCTGAGAGGGGTAGCTGTGGGGGACCTCCTGTCCTTTTCCTTGCAGGGGCCTCAGTTGTGCTTTTCCCCTCTAGGCAGCCATGGGTGCCAGGCAGTGCTGAGAGCAGTGGGGCATGGCCGCAGCCCTGCAGGTTCTGCCCCGCTTGGCCCGAGCCCCCTTGCATCCATTCCTCTGGGGGGGCCCAGTGGCCCGGCTGGCCAGCAGCATGGCCTTGGCAGAGCAGGCGCGACAGCTGTTTGAGAGTGCTGTGGGTGCAGTGCTGCCGGGCCCCATGCTGCATCGGACACTGTCCTTGGACCCTGGTGGCAGACAGCTGAAGGTGCGGGACCGGAACTTTCAGCTGAAGCAAAACCTCTACCTGGTGGGCTTTGGCAAGGCTGTGCTGGGCATGGCAGCTGCAGCTGAGGAACTACTGGGCCAGCATCTCGTGCAGGGTGTGATCAGCATTCCCAAGGGGATCCGTGCTGCCATGGAGCGTGCTGGCAAGCAGTAAGGAGCCATGGGGGGCTGCCTCCCACTGTCTTGTCTGGAGGGAAACCTGGGCCCAGACCCAGGCTGGATCGGGGCCTCCCCTCCCCACCCTCTTCCCTTTTCTTCTGGGTCTGGCCTGGCTCCAGGATGAGCCATGCCCCATGCCACCCGCCCCCCCCTCCTCCCCCGCCATCTGTACAATTGAAAGATCAGGTGGGAGGAAAGGAGCCCACCCCCTCTCTTACGCTCTGACCTCTCCCTCCCCAGGGAGATGCTACTGAAGCCACATAGCCGTGTCCAGGTATTTGAGGGTGCAGAGGACAACCTCCCGGACCGTGATGCGCTGAGAGCTGCATTGGCCATCCGGCAGCTGGCTGAGGGACTCACAGCTGATGACCTGCTGCTCGTACTGATCTCAGGTGTGGTACCCAAGACAGTTGGTGGGAAGTGCACCAAATATCAGGTCTTTGAGAGATCAGGTCTGAGCCCCCAGGGTCACAGGGTAAAGTTAGGAGCAAGGGAGGCGGTGAGGAGCCTGGATGGTGACTCCTGGGTTGCTTTGGGCCAGTCATCTGGCCTCCCCTGAGCTGTGGAGTCCTCCCCCGGAGCTGACTTTTCAGGTGACGGTGAGAGGGTGCATGGGGAGCACCTAATCCAGGACCTGACACATCCGTAGAGTCCTTGGAAAATGTCACTGCTGTTGCTGCTGTCTGTACTAATGTCACCTGGGGCTAGGCCCTCAGACCTCATGGAGTCCTCTCCTTGTGTCCCCCCTGCCCTGCCTCCTGTTCCAGTCTCTTCAGGAATAGTTCTTCCAGTGTCTACTGAGACCTGGGGTACCCCAAGGCAGCGGACAACCTCAGGTGGCCAGGATGTGGTGACTGTGCACATATTGCATGTCCACACGGGGGCACCCTAACCCCACCTTTCCAGCCCCCCTTCCCTAATGTGGGCTTGTCACCACAGCTTGCCTGGTTCCCTGGATTGGGATAGCCCTCTGCCTCATCCCTCATTGTCTCTGCAGGTGGGGGGTCAGCCCTGCTGCCTGCCCCCATCCCACCTGTCACACTGGAGGAGAAACAGACACTCACCAAACTGCTGGCGGCCCGTGGAGCCACCATCCAGGAGTTGAACACCATTCGGAAGACCCTGTCCCAGCTCAAGGGTGGGGGGCTGGCTCAAGCCGCCTACCCTGCCCAGGTTCGAGTCACTTCTTCCCCGGGCAGCCCTGGGTTGGTAGAGCCAGGTCCACATGTGACAGGGACATGAAAGCCTAGAACAGCATACAAATTGGCAGGGCCATGGTGTAAAAGACCATGGGGCTGTCTGGGTGACATCATGGGAGGGGTGCCAGAGATGGTGAGGAGGTGCCTGCATAAGCAGGTGTTCTGCAAGCTCATGTGAGAGGGGTTAACCATAGGTAAGGAAGTGCACAGAGTTGGGAGGGTGTGTAGATACCCAAGAAGCAATTTATCCTTATGGGCTCTAGGGAGAGGAGGAAATAGGCCTGATCCTTGCCTGTTGGCCCTTCCCCAGGTGGTGAGCCTCATCCTGTCCGATGTGGTGGGGGACCCTGTGGAGGTGATTGCCAGTGGCCCCACTGTGGCCAGTTCCCACAGTGTGCAAGATTGCCTGCATATCCTCAACCGCTATGGCCTCCGTGCAGCCCTGCCACGTTCCGTGAAGACTGTGCTGTCTCGGGCTGACTCTGACCCCCATGGGCCACACACCTGTGGCCATGTCCTGAACGTGATCATTGGCTCTAATGTGCTGGCACTGGCTGAGGCCCAGCGGCAAGCCGAGGCACTGGGCTACCAGGCTGTGGTGCTTAGTGCAGCCATGCAGGGTGATGTGAAAAGTGTGGCCCAGTTCTACGGGCTGCTGGCCCATGTGGCTAGAACCCACCTCACCCCATCCATGGCTGGGGCTTCTGTAGAGGAAGATGCGCAGCTCCATGAGCTGGCAGCTGAGCTTCAGATCCCAGACCTGCAGCTGGAGGAGGCTCTGGAGACCATGGCTCGGGGAAGGGGTCCAGTCTGCCTGCTGGCAGGTGGCGAGCCCACAGTGCAGCTGCAGGGCTCAGGCAAGGGTGGCCGGAACCAGGAACTGGCCCTGCGTGTTGGAGCAGAGTTCAGAAGGTGGCCACTGGGGCCTATAGATGTGCTATTTCTGAGTGGTGGCACCGATGGGCAGGATGGGCCCACAGAGGCTGCTGGGGCCTGGGTCACACCTGAGCTTGCCAGCGAGGCTATAGCTGAGGGCCTGGACATGGCCACTTTCCTAGCCCACAATGACTCACATACCTTCTTCTGCCGTCTCCAGGGCGGGCTGCACCTGCTGCACACAGGGATGACAGGTACCAATGTCATGGACACCCATCTCTTGTTCCTGAGGCCTCGGTGATGGCATAGGTCACATTTTGGGAGTTCAGAGGAGGCCTCCAAGGGCAAGGTCAGATGGCAGACCAAGGTTGCTCCTCAGGGCCTCACTAGGCTTTAGGGCTCCTCCTTGGCATTGGCTGCTTGGTTGGCTGTCACTTCTCACTCAGGGCCTCTGCTCTATGTCCATTCCCCTCCAGCCAGACTGGCAGATGGGGGCTCCCCTCTACTCCTACTCTCTGGATGGCAGCAGGTACCCCTGAGGATGAGTATAAGCCCCTCACCCAGTTCACTGTTCCCATGCTTCTCCCTAGGCAGCCTCTCTGTTGAGCCCCTCACCCTGTTTTTTTCTGTGAAGCGAAAGTGTCTGAAAATAAATAGGACTATGCCATAGGTTCTCAGTGTGCCTTCCCTCAGAGTGAGGCCTCATGGAGGAGCTGCTGGGAGGGGAGCATAGTATGGCTGCAGCCACAGTGCCAGGGCCTGGCAGAACTCTTAACACCCGTCTGCTGGGCTGGGTATATACAGGACTTGCCTCACATCGCAGAGCCTGTGCCTGTCTCTCTGGAGCATGTGAGGGTTGAGCCTGGCTCCTGACAGCTTTGATGTGTGTGCGCAGAGACCCCAGGGAGGACAGGCCTAAGGACTGCAGCCTGGGGTGACTGGCCACCCACCCAACCATGACTCCACAGTGGGACCATTACCATGACCTCTCCGGCCTCAGCCTGGTCTCGTTGGATGGATGTCCCTTCTGCCTTTGGACAGCCCTTGGCTACGGACTGCACTTCTGGTTGAGCTGAAGTTTGTCCCGCCGCCCAGTGCTGATTCCTTGTGACAGCCCTTGTCCTAGGCTGAACATCCCCAGTTCCTTCGGCCACTCCTCTGGGGACCAAGTCCAGACTCTGATGTCAGTCAGTCCTTTAGTGGGGGGTCTCAGCTCTGGGATGGGGTCCAGGTAGTGACGAGGTCCAGCAGCCCACACCCTTTCCCGTGACCACTGGCGGGTGAAGAGGCGAGTGGGAGTAGAGGAATGGCTGCCTTGGCCTGGCCAGCAGCCTGGGTTGAGAGAGGGAGGTGCCACTGTCCCCCCTTCCGGCTCCCTTGCTCAGTGTCAGAGCCCTCCGCTGGCTTTCCCCGCCGTGCGCCACGGCTCCAATCCCTATATGAATGAGCAGTAGAATCACATAGGAATAAAAAGCCATAGAGAACAGCGAGGCCTGGGGCTGCTCTTGCAGGCCCTTCTTCCACCCTAGCCCTCCCGTCGTCCCTCAACTCTTTCCCCTGGGAAGAGTTTCCCTTCCCCACCTGGGCTCTGGACAGGCTAGCTTGCAGATGGTTCATGATCTGGGGACCTGGCTCACACAGGGCAGGCTGGGGATTGGGATGGAGGTGAGCATGGTAAGCGGGCTCTGGGGAGCAGGGAGGTTTAGGGAAAAGGGGAGTTTGCACCCTACTGGGATGCACGGGCACTGCTTCCTTTCCTTCTGTGCTGGCGTGGAGCTCCTGCTGACCAGGGTCACAGTCTCGGGTTACGTGGAGCTCCTGCTGACCAGGGTCACAGTCTCGGGTTACGGTGATCCTCGCATGATCCTGTGACCTGGTGCTCCTCTGGCAGCCTCTGCACGTAGCCTGTTCGTGCCTCGGGCCTTGCTTTTGGGAGCATGAGTATTGGCACTGGGTACAAAGTTCCAGGCGAAAGCAGGAAATAGGAGAGCTGGGGGCAGGGGCTGAGGGCCTGGCGGCCATATCCCCTGGGTGTGTGTGTGTGTGGTGTGTGGCATGTGTCTGTGGTGTGTGTGTGTGTGGTGTGTGTGGCATGTGTGGCGTGTATGTGTGGTATGTGTGTGTGTGTTGTGTGTGTGTTGTGTGGTGTGTGTGTATGTGGTGTGTGTGTGGTGTGTGTGTATGTAGTGTGTATGTGGTGTGTGTGTGGTGTGTGTGGCATGTGTGTGGCGTGTGTGTGGCGTGTGTGTGGTTGTGTATGTGGTGTGTGTGTATGGTATATGGTGTGTGTGTGTGGTGTGTGTGTGGTGTGTGGGTATGTGGTATGTGTGTGTGGTTGTGTGGGGTGTGTGTGTGGCGTGTGTGTATGTGGTATGTGTGTGGTGTGTGTGTGTGGTATGTGTGTCTGTGGTGTGTGTGGTGTGTGTGTGGTGTGTGTTTGGTGTGTATGTAGTGTGTGTGTGGTGTGTGTGGTGTGTGTGTGGTGTGTGTGTATGTGGTGTGTGTGTGGTGTGTGTGTATGTGATATGTGTGTGTGTGGTATGTGTGGTGTGTATGTGGTGTGTGTGTGGGGTGTGTGTGTGGGGTGTGTGTGTGTGTGGTGGGTATGTGAGCACACAGACGTTGGTGCTGGTGTACCGAGAGCGGGAATGTATCTGTGAGTGTACATATAGATACTTAGTACAGGGCACACGGCTCTCTACGCGCCTGCTGAGGGCTTTGGGTATGGATGGGATCTTGCAGGAGTTTCACCCTGCTCCACAGTGACCCCTTCCCTATACTTCTGTTTATAGGGGTGGGAGGCCGGGGCCTTGATTGGACCCAATAGGGCCAAATAGTTTGCGATCCTAACCGGTTAGATTTGCTCACTGGCTACCCCAGAGATGATAAAGGATGTATTTGGCCACAGTCTAGATGATGAAATGAGATAAACCCTGCGCAGTGAGTGTTTCGATAGGATCATTATTTGCTCCATAAATGTCAATTTTGGATCATTAAAGTACCCCTTCCTTGCTCTTGGCTTCTGTCTCTTCTGGCTGCTGCCGCCCTTATACTTACCTCATCTTCATTCTCTAAAGCTTCCCCTGGCCCAGGTGGAGGATTTACCACGGAGGGTGTCTGGCCCTGCTGGCTGCAGCAGCCCTCACAGACCCGTCCATTCTCTACACTTGGCATGAGCCAAGAGCACTGGGGCAGTGGGCCTGGGCAGCCCTTTAAGTGTCAGCTAATCCCAACCGTTTTGACTATAGTAATTGGAGATAATAGAGAGCGAAGGTGGTTTATTTGGGACTGCACAGCAAGTTGGCCACCAAACCAGGATAAGAATCTAATTGGAACCTGCTTGACTATCTTCTGCCACTCTCTGGGGCTCAGAGACCCTGGGGCCAAGCAAGGGCTCAGTCAGAGCCAGGGGATCTACTTCTGCCTCCTTGCTGCTCCTCAAGGGCTTGGGATGGCGACACACCATGCTTGGCCTCTCTAGGGATCCACACAGCGGATTTGTTAGATTCTTCTTGGCTCAGAGGGACAGCTCCATTGTGTGTGTGATTTGGCAGAAAACCATGCACAGTTGAGTGGTGGGCTTCTACATAAAGGTGTGTCTGCATCTGTTGCACAATTGTGTGTGTGTGTGTGTGTATGTGTGTGTGTGCGCGCACGCACACACATGGATACATGTATAGGTATGTGTGTGTGTAGTGCAGCCCACAACCAGTCTGTGAGCTGTGCTCTGCCCCATCCCAGGGTGGAGACACACAGGTGTAGTTAGAGTATAGGGGATACAGGGAGCAAGGTGGGCAAGGAAGCCCAAAAGACTGACAGAGGCTAGTGTGCCTGGCCAAGAGAGTTGACTTCACGTTGACAGCAATGGCAAACCTCATAAAGATTTTGGCAGGGAGTAATGTCATGAAGCTGTTTTGGGACTTTGATGCTGAGTGCCTCCTTACTACAGAGGGTGAGAGGTGAGGGCATGCAAGGAGATGGAAGGGATTGCAGGTAGGAGAGGTGTATTACCAAGCTCTGAGAACGCTCTCCCCCTCTGCTGCACAGCCTCAGCTCCAAAGCCTTTAGCCAGCCCAGGGAACCCTTTAGATGCCTGCCTTGGAACCAAGGCTGAAAGCCCTGGCTCAAATACTCCTGGGAGTCACTGAGCCCCTCTGTCTCTGGGAATGCCATCAGGGCCTTGAGGATTTGGGGGGCAGAGGCTGGGCAGCTAGTGGACACTTTGGTGGGCATAGGGACCCCACTCACGTAGGATCTCATCAGGGTGGCAGTTAAGCGGCTTGAAAGGAGCACTGGAGTAGGAGTCCGGTGGTAAGTCCTTGTCCTGGCCTTCCCACCTTCCTTTCTCCAGGGCTGTTTTCTCATCTGTTTAATGGGGGCAGCATCCTTGCCCTATTGCCTCTTTAGGGAGGTATCAGTGGCAGGTGGATCTGTGTGGAAGAGCTCTGTGCAAGTGGGGACCTCAGGGAGGGAGAGAAAGAAGGGAGAGGTATTGGTCTCTTCCAAGGAGAATCTCAGGAAGCTCTTAGCTCAGGGAGGTCCTCTTCTTTCATGGCAGGACCAGAGTTAGAGCCAGCAGGACCTTAGTGCTCACTGGCTGAGGCTGAGTGAGTGACCTGCTAGCCTCTGGCACTAGACAGGCACCAGCAGGGAATGGTATTTGAGTCTTTAATGGCTGGTAGGGTGTACAGTGCCCTGGGAGGTCACGGAGCTGATGGATGATCAGGTGGAGTCAGAGTGAGCTGAGCTGCCTGGAAGAGAGCCCCCTACTGTCTCTGGAAAATGGGGAGGGCAACCTGCCTCCCTCTGGGTCTTGGTCATGTATGAGGGACATGATGAGGCCCAGGCCGTGGTGAGGGAGGACTGGTTCGACCCCAGGCCAGAATCCCTAGCTAGGTGGGAGGATTGGGATATGCTGGGGGGTGGGGTGGGAGGGGGCGTGCAAGGGTGGGGGACACACACACCCTAGGTGATGGGGAAGCCAATGACCTAGGCAGGCTGCTGTGTGAGCGATAGGAGCATGGGGCTGTCATGAGCTGTGCCCAGGCTGGGAGGGCTTTCTCCCCAAGGCTGTGGGCCAGACCTCTCCCCAGCAACCACTAGGGCCAGTTCTGAGGCTTTGCTCTCCACTTCCCCTGACTCAGGCTGCTTTGTAGTGGCTGGAGGAGGGTGGGCTGGGAGTTGACACTTGACTTGCCACCAGCTCATGTCCATGGCTCTGATTCCACCTCTCTAGACATGTTGCTCCCACCCCAGGGGTTGAGGGGAGCAGGGGTTGCAGCAGGTGTGGCTGCTGCCTTGCTCAGATGAGGAGGTTCTGGCCAAGGGAAGAGGGCAAGACAGTTGGGTCCTGGAAACAAGTGCCCCATCTGCCCAGTCCTATGGGGCCACTGCCCTTAGCAGCTCTGCCTCATGGGACGATCACTCACTATGCTGTGGTCCACCACTGCCTCCTTGGGGAGCCAGGGAGCTGTGGAACCTGGCTCTGCCCCATCCAGACAGCCAGAGGCTGGACCCCAAAAATGCATCCTATTGAGAAGCTCTTTCCTAGCACTAGCAGCCAGCAGAGCTGCTGCCCACCTCCCTGGGAAGGTGTGAGCCATATACCTCTCCTTGCCTCCAGTCCTGCCCCTCCATCTCCAGCACTAGCTGAGAAGGGGGCGGGGCCCCT